CATAGACAAAGCATTACACAGGTATATATACCAGTATCTCTATTCACTACTATATGAGCATTACACAGGTATATATACCAGTATCTCTATTCACTACTATAGACTGAGCATTACACAGGTATATATACCAGTATCTCTATTCACTACAATAGACTGAGCATTACACAGGTATATATACCAGTATCTCTATTCACTACTATAGACAAAGCATTACACAGGTATATATACCAGTATCTCTATTCACTACTATAGACAAAGCATTACACAGGTATATATACCAGTATCTCTATTCACTACATAGACAAAGCATTACACAGGTATATATACCAGTATCTCTATTCACTACAATATGACTGAGCATTACACAGGTATATATACCAGTATCTCTATTCACTACATAGACTGAGCATTACACAGGTATATATACCAGCATCTCTATTCACTACTATAGACTGGGCATTACACAGGTATATATACCAGTATCTCTATTCACTACATAGACAAAGCATTACACAGGTATATATACCAGTATCTCTATTCACTACAATAGACTGAGCATTACACAGGTATATATACCAGTATCTCTATTCACTACAATAGACTGAGCATTACACAGGTATATATACCAGTATCTCTATTCACTACTATAGACTGAGCATTACACAGGTATATATACCAGTATCTCTATACACTTCTGTAGACTAAGCATTACACAGGTATATATACCAGTATCTCTATTCACTACTATAGACTGAGCATTACACAGGTATATATACCAGTATCTCTATTCACTACTATTGACTGAGCATTACACAGGTATATATACCAGTATCTCTATTCACTACAATAGACTGAGCATTACACAGGTATATATACCAGCATCTCTATACTACAATAGACTGAGCATTACACAGATATATATACCAGCATCTCTATTCACTACAATAGACTGAGCATTACACAGGTATATATACCAGTATCTCTATTCACTACAATAGATTGAGCATTACACAGGTATATATACCAGTATCTCTATTCACTACTATAGACTGAGCATTACACAGGTATATATACCAGTATCGCTATTCACTACTATAGACTGAGCATTACACAGGTATATATACCAGTATCTCTATTCACTACAATAGACTGAGCATTACACAGGTTTATATACCAGTATCTCTATACACTACAATAGACTGAGCATTACACAGGTATATATACCAGTATCTCTATACACTACAATAGACTGAGCATTACACAGATATATATATATATATACCAGCATCTCTATTCACTACAATAGACTGAGCATTACACAGGTATATATACCAGCATCTCTATTCACTACTATAGACAAAGCATTACACATATATACATACCAGCATCTCTATTCACTACAATAGACTGAGCATTACACATATATATATACCAGTATCTCTATTCACTACAATAGACTGAGCATTACACAGGTATATATACCAGTATCTCTATTCACTACTATAGACAAAGCATTACACAGATATACATACCGGCATCTATATTCACTACAATAGATTGAGCATTACACAGATATATATACCAGTATCTCTATACACTTCTGTAGACTAAGCATTACACAGGTATATATACCAGCATCTCTATTCACTACTATAGACTGAGCATTACACAGGTATATAT